TTCATCTCTCTACCATAGAACCTGGTTCATCTCTCTACCATAGAACCTGGTTCATCTCTCTACCATAGAACCTGGTTCATCTCTCTACCATAGAATCTGGTTCATCTCTCTACTTGGACTACCTAATCTTTATTGTGTGTGAATACTTCAGATCTCCAATTAAAATGTCAATATATCACATATGGGAATTCCTACAATTTCACAGTTTATAGAGTTGTTGCAGCTAAATTAATAGCACTTAGCTTAGCTGAGCATATCTGCCTGATACACCCCAGAGGTAAAAGAAGGCTGATTCCTATGCAGATCAAATGATCTGTATAATCCAGCTGCCTCTTTTTAGCTGTCTGGAGCGCAGACTGTTGGGTTATAAGGGGAAACAGAGACCGGCCACTGGAAGCTGTGTGGCCCCTGGGGGGTTTCTAAAGAGCACATCAGCAGTTTCCAGAGGCTGACACTTGAACATATGAGCACCTGCCATGACATTCTTCTATTCCTATATTGAGATTAAATTTTTTTTTCACTCTTCAGTGTAAGGTGATGTGTATGTCTTTTTCCTTGCTTAACATTTTTTCAAAGGCTAAATATTTCAAGCACTTTATTTCAATATTTGCCTCCTCTTCTAGTGGTGTTAGCAATCAGCTTTTAATTACACTACGTTTGCTACAAAATTAAAAAGTTCTTAATTTTTTTTGTAAACGCACACAAAATGGGTAAAGAGTGGAACGTTGACAAAGAAACCCATCGTCTATATGTGTCATTACTGTGTCATGAAAACAGAAAAAAAATTAGTAAAAACCATTTTACTAAGTTCTGGACTTCAAGGGTGTGTTTTTTATGGAAACTTTGTTATCACGAAGGCAAGGCCAGCGAGCCAGGGAGGAACTGGTCGATCGATGGGTGCAGGTTTTAAAAATTATATTAAATCTCCTCATCTGCTATATCAACAGGCTTCACCAGCAACGCTGTGCTGGGTTTGCAGCTCAGAGCTTTTTCGAGGTGGGATGTGGTCCTTTTGTTTCGCAAAAGTGGAGCACGGTTCTGGGATTGCACCACATGTAACGTGACGTCCAGCTGGATTGTTGGGTTCTCCGTGAGTCCTGACCAAAGTCCAGGAGGCAGTGGGAGAGAAATGCTTTTCTCTTTGGATTTCAAGCTGTCGCGGGGGAGGGGTTAGAATGTGACATCAGGGGTTGATTAAAGCTGAGGCTGGCATTCCAGGGCAACTATGACCCTTGGATTCAACACCTTAAGCACTGAGGGACTTGACATCATACACACGCCGCTTTGTTTTGAAAAAATATAAATATAAAAAATATGACCATGGATGTCTGGGGGACAGTGATTGGCCTCCATGTTCTGAATGCTGGCGTACCATAAAGAATAAATGATGAACAGTTTAGTTTGTGCCTTCAAGTCGTTGCCCATAGGAAGACGTTACTGGATATAACCTAACGGAATATCTTCAGAACGGCTCCAAATGACACTAAAGCAGAACTAAAGTAGAACATGATGGAATAACGGAAAATCAAGGGCCCAATGGAAAAAGAACGAAATTCCCCTTTAAGCCTTAAAATTGAACAATCCTCAGAGACTGTTGAAGGGACTCCTAAAAGCCTCTCTCCCCTTTTCCTTTGCTCTTATTTACTTGTGCTAATTTTCAGTAATGTTTAGTGTTTCTGCATAGTTATTAGAAATAATAATCCTGTGTGATAGTAGCTAATAAAGGTACCATTGTATTTCAACCCGTGGTTTTTGTGTTCATTTTACACAGTGAACGATTTATCACTGGATTCACTCTTCTTTCAGTAGCATCCAAATAAATGAGACACATTTATTTGGTTGGTGATTAATAACTCGTCTGATAGCCATAATCAAAAATTACTAAATTGATGAAGGCAACTGAATTTTAACAGCCGGATTCAGTAGTTCAACCTTTTATATAAGAGACTAAAACCCCTGGTTAATAAGCAAATTACAGTAATAATCAATCAACTAATAATCAATTGTTTTTATCCATAGTTTGTATGGCCTATTGATTAACTATAACTCCCAGTTCTAGTTAGCCCTAACCCAGTTCTAGTTATCAGTCACCATCTAGAGGGAAAGGGTCTAGAGATAATTTAAAACAACTTTTTAAAAGCCAAATTAAATAAAAAACCTTAAGCGCATTCCTTACCTCATTCTTTGTGAACATTTATTTTTCTCTATATTTCATTATTGACATAAAAACGTTTTTATTAACCACCGGGTGAATGTCTGTGAGAGATACTGTTTAGGACCTATTTCACTGTGGTACTGGGACGGAGGACGGAAGGCAGTCCAATCACAATGGTTAGAACATTTGGTTAGTTATGGTATGTGATTGAACCACATCATGATCTTGGTGCAGATAACTGGTCTAATTGTGTTCTGATTGCCTGATCATGACCCGTTCTGCCTCTGGACCTCTGAGTCTGCCTGTCCCTGCTCTGATCTGTTTGCCTAATCTGTCCTTGGACTCCTGCTGGATTCTGCCTGTTTACCGAACACTGGAACTGCTTCCTGATACTGCCGTGGATTTCCCCTCTGCACCTCCTTGGATCTCTGATCTCCTGACCTCTACCTCTGCTGTGGCTTCGTGATCTGGATTATCCTACCTACCTTTCTCTGCCCGGATCTGATCTCCTGCCTGTTCTCCGGGACTTCAGCATCTGGGACTATCAGGGCTCCGTCCGATGCTGACTGGCAGGAACCAAGATCGTCCTCTGGTCACAAACTGATCTTTAAGACCAGGTTAGTGACTCATGTTTTCACTATCATCCTCCGCCATATAGGCGTGGTCACTAACCTGTGTTCTCTCCCTGCAGAAATTCCTGCCTTAGACGCTTCCTTTGAAATCCGTTTATTTAAAAAACTTTAAAAAATCCAACTCTGTCTGGTTCGAAAACTGGGTCCAGTGTTCTGAGCCTTGACAAACCCTCCACATTTGCTTTTTTTATTCCAAGATATTGCTGCACAGATCTGCTAATAGTCAGATCATTCAGACTGATGGGCAGCAGTTAATTTAATAAAAATATATTATTTACCCAAAGAATTCATTTTTGGTCATTGAAAGTAAATCAAACATTTAAAAAAAAATTCCTGACAAAACAAAAAGGAAAGGAATCTAACGCTGAACTCCACCACAGATTGGGGATCACATGCAGTTATTTATTTTTTTTATTCCTGTGCAGCTGATTATCTGTGTGGTTTATTTTATTGGGTCTTTAGCTAAACCTACTTTTTGACAAACGTCCACATTAGATTTATATATGAGGAGATGGAAGAGACTGCTTCACCTGAACGCAGCTGTTTAATCCGCCCAGCACTGCTGCTGATGTCCACAGGCAACATATCTTTGAACCAGAAAATCTCAGGGTCAGGGCTTCCGCTGGCAGCACACAGCATCGTGGCTGTATTGGTTCGCTCCACAACCTTCAGCTGGGGCCCCATGTCTATGGTGGGGAATCCTGCAGGTATCTGGTCCTCTGTTTGGAATCAAGGAAACAGAAAATTTGCCCAAAAATGTATTTAAAACTAGAGCGCATAAACACAATCATGTTTCTCTATCCTGATGTGGAATTACTATTGCAGTCCATTCATTTCTAAACCATTTCTTTAGTCTAACCGTGACCCCTACCCTAAACCTAGACTCAATTCACACCTTAGTCCTGACCCTGAAACAGCATTGGTGGGGGACCAGGGATTGGTCCCCAGGGATGCCATGGGATCAATCCCTGGTCCCCAGGAGAGATTTCGGCCCCCACAATGTGCTATGCTTATGGAAAATGGTTCCTACAATGGCTGCACAGTGGATGAGTCGGTAGCACGGTTGCTTTGCCGAAAGAAATATTCAGGATTAAGGCTTAATATTATGAGAACAATATTGTTGTAAGTTGAACTCCTAAAATAAGCATTTGTTAGAAAAGTGTAAATGTTATCATTCTATTTGAAGTTACAGGCTTTTGGCCTGTTAGGAATGATGTTGTTTGTGTAGATCAGAACAAGGCTGAACATCATGATGTGAGGGCTGTTGATGTGTCGTTTGTCTCATTTTACTTTGCAAAGTAAAATAACGTGCAGACTGATTGAAATCAATCAATCTCCATTTATTTAACTGAACTGTAGAGTTAAATACTTTTTTTCACACAACAACACCCTTTTATTTTATGCTGTCTGCAAAATGCCAGCAAAGAGATATCCTCTGCTTGACATATTGTTTATGCCAGATCTCAAAAATAAAGTCAGACACTGAGACAACACCACCACAGAGGGACTAATTATCAGGAAAGAAAGCAAAATAAAACTCTTAAGATTTGCACGTTACCATATCGGATTGCACTGTTAAATGCAGTAAATCCTAAAAGGAACTGATGCACAGCGAACCCAGATCTCAGTGTAGAGAAATAATTTCTGGAGAGGACTATCTAATGTTTAGGAGTTCTTGTTTAGTGGTAATACTGAGAGGATAACCTCAGAAATGACCAGAGAGCCAATGAGGCAGTGAGGCAGCCACCTGTAGCTCCATTAATAATAGAAATCACTCATTAATGTAAAGGTTTGTGAAAAAGTATGGAATAGCCTTTAAAATCCCACAAAAACTATTGTATTTGAAGTGAGTGGGAGGCTGATTGAAAAAAAAAAACCCTCACCCTCTAGGACAATCAGCCTGGCAGGTGCAGAGATCTCTCCAGCACTGTTTGTGGCTGTGCATTCATAGACGGCCTCGTCTCTGCTGGTTCTTAAGGGCTGGATCCGAAGCACAGAGCCCGACTTGTCTTCAAAATCTTTTACCTGGCAACAGAGAAAAAGCATTAAAAACAACCAACCCCTGTGTATGCATGGGTAGTCTGGCTTATTTAATCCCAAACTCTGCCTGTCGAGGTCCTGATGCTTCATTTTTGATCCACAATAATGTCAGCAGTCCAGTGAAGCGTGGCCAGATGCGTCTGCTGCTCCTGTGTTCGATGCCAGAGAACGGCTTTGATATATTAGTAGTTTGAAAATGTTTTGAAGTGAGAAAGTCCTCCTGAAAACATGGTCTGTGCAGTCAGTTCACCCAGATTACCATCCTGCCTTCAAAGATTATTTCTCTGTGGGAGCCGCTCAGACCCCCACATACCGGTGTACAGTCAGACCAGCATACCCGCAGTCAATACGCATGCAATACAATTTAAGGTCAGGTCACCATATAATTAAGTATATGCAGTGTTGGGCAAGCCACTTGTCCAGTGTAGTGAGCTAAGCTATCAGTTACTCAACAATAAATTAAGCTTCACTACACCAAAGCTACCACCTAAAGAATTATAGCAAGCTAAGTTACACTAATGTGTTAAAAGTAGCTTAACTACATCAGAAGCTACTTAACGTTGTACCAACCTAATATCAATTCAAAATGAGTCTGATACACTGGTTAAAATATTTATTAAAGATTAGCCAATGACATAACACAGTGTAAACATTGTTTTATGATCAGCATATTAAAATACAAACTGAAGTAATTACTAGTAGACAAAAAAAATAAACAATCT